AATTTTGGGACACCCTTTATATACTAGTAGCCCTGCGCACAAATCCGTGCACCAGTAGCTCTCCACCCGCTTGTAGCTCGCTGCCCTACCCTCCTGCTGATCTGTGATCTGGTCATTACCTGGTCGGTCGTTATGTAATGGCCATTTGCATATTATATCTTTATTATGTAGAATATGTGTGTGTGTGTGTGTGTGTGTGTGTGTGTGCGCATTTAATATATTTTTATTTATTTCAGAGAGGAAAGGAGAGGGAGAGATAGAAACATCAATGATGAGAGAGAATTATGGATCGGCTGCCTCCTGCATGCCCCCTACTGGGGATCGAGCCCACAACCTGCGCATGTGCCCTGGACAGGAATCAAACCCGGGTCCCTTCAGTCAGCAGGCCGATGCTCTATCCAGTGAGCCAAACCAGCCAGGGCTGGTATGGTTAACTTTTTTTTGGCCCAGGTTCTCTCTGCGGTGAGTCCCTTCCAGGCGCGGGATCTAAGGTGACAAGCTCTGTGCATGTTGCAGGCTGGGCAGGCCCAGCAGCCACGGGTGCCCGGCTGCCCCGGGAGCGCCAGGGACATGGCTGCCTCACCTTGAGGATGCGCCTGTAGGTCTCAGAGTAGGAGGAGCTCTCAAATGGGGGGTTTCCCACCAGCAGCTCGTAGCAGAGCACCCCGATGCACCACAGGTCCACCATCTCGCTGTACGTCCTCTGCTCGATCATTTCCGGGGGCAAGTAATCCAGAGTCCCGCACATGGTCTTCCTCCTGGAGGTGGGCGGAGGCGTGAGCGCGGCCCAGAGGCCCAGAGGCCCAGACCAGGGAAACATCTTTCCTCTGGCCCCAGGGAGACGGGAGTCCCCTCCCCAGCACGGAAGCTGGGAAGCACCAAGTTTTTTTTTTTAAATATATTTTTATTGATTTATTATGGAGAGGAAGGGAGAGGGATAGAGAGTTAGAAACATCAATGAGAGAGAAACATTGATCCGCTGCCTCCTACACACTCCTCACTGGGGATGTGCCCGCAACCAAGGTACATGCCCTTGACCGGAATCGAAACTGGGACCCTTGAGTCCGCAGACCGACGCTCTATCCACTGAG